TGTTCCTGACCCAGGCCATAGTCTTTGCAATTATTTGCTATGAGTCAGAAAGCTGGGCAATGACTAGGGATGATAGAATGCCTTTGATGCCTTTGAGCTGTGGTGTTGGAGAAGAGTGTTGAATATAACATGGATTACCAGGAGAACAAACAGGTTCGTCCTGGAGAGGGTGAGACCAGGCTTCTCCTTGGACGCAAGAATTCTGAAGCTTCGTCTGAAATACTTTGGGCCTTTCTCAAGGAGGGTTCAGTCCTTGGAGAGGAGTATCATACTTGGGAGGGTGGAGGGACAGTGCAAGTGAGGAATATCCTCAGTTAGATGGATTGATTCAGTGACTGGGATAATGAGGGTAGATGTGTCAGAGACAGTAAGGTTGGCACAGGATAGAACAAGTTTTAGGGCTATCGTACATGGGCTTGCTATGAGTCGCAAATGACTCGATGGCGCATAACAACAACAACAACAACAACAACAACAACAACAGTCAACTTGGAACAGACCTATGGCTGACTGCAGCGAGTTTTCAGAGATAGTAGACCACGGGCGAGGAGATAGCTCATTTTTCTCAGAGCAGCTGGTAGGTTCAAACCACGTGACTTTGGTTAGCAGCATAACTCCTTACCGTTGTCTCCAGAGTTCTGTTTTTTTTTTCCATTTCACTTCTTTGAATTCATGTGCTTTTTGTTGCTTCTTAGTAATGTATTGACATCCACTCTGCTGTACATGGCCCTTCCCCCTCTGACCTGAGGGTTCTATTGGAGTCTTTTAAGAGAAAATTGCGTGTGCCCGGACCAAATAAATGGGGAAAATATTGGATTGCAAATTGAATGCTCTGCTGTATGATTAACGTCTTTAAATGCTGCAAGTGTTTTAAAATTATGTTAGTGGTTTTTAAATGTGTCTGCAGCTAAACGTCAATTCATACTACATAGCCTTCACTTAAAGTAATATATGGTTATAAAGGATTCGTTCTTTTTGCCAGGTCATGGATTTTACTGTCTTTCAACCTGTTCTTATTGTTTGTTTAAGGTTGCTATTCTAGTGAAGTAGATATTGACTGAAAATGCTGCTGACACTTGTTCTGGTTTCTCTCCAGGCTGTTAGATTGTAAAGACACTATGCAAAATTCAATATGCACATTGACCCACGTTTCCAAATTAATGTTAGTGTCATCTTTGTGAGACAGTTTTGTTTGTTCGTTTGTTCACTCTTTAACCACTGCTCCAGAAGTAGAGACTGTAAAGATACTGGTAACAGTACTCAAGGGTTTCCTGTATATTGGAGGAGACAGCTGTAGCCACAAACAATGTTAGTGCAGTAAGCTCTAACACCAGGTTAGAATTCAGCAGCTGGAGAAAGGAATGAACCTAGATCTGGGGTCAGAAGACTGGCATTTGAAGTCTTCCTTAGTCTTTAGCACATGTGCATTAAGGTTTCTACCACTTCAAAGAACATAATATATTTGACATTGATAATGTGTAAAGTAGAATGACAGTGTTTTTATGATCTGTTTCTGTTTTTAAGGGAAAAATTTTTAGGAGATATGAACAAAACTGGCAGTTTTTACCACACATTTTTATATTTCCTATTGTTGGGTTTTTTTCCTCAGTATACACTATAGCTTTGAAAAAGAGAACAAATCCATAGTCTTTTGCAGATCCTATTTCAATCAGAAAGGCTATATCTTTGGGATAATAGAAGCAATCAGAAGCATATGCGTGTAAGATTCCCTACCTGCATGCCTATATATTGGATATTTTCACTTGTTAATACAGATGAACTCTCCTTCAGCTAAAACCAACCCCTGCATTTGTCCATTAGATCCTACACTCTTGCATATTGAACGATATTTTATTCATAGAGTTTTTTCTTTTAGATTTATAAGCATATAACTTGTCTTTCTCTCTTTCATTGTAAAAGCAAATCTTTTGACCTAACTTTTCCCTTTAGCTGCCTCTTTCTTCTTTCTAATATTGCTTTACAGACTTGTCTATACTTGCCGTTTCAGATTTTCTTTTCATATTCTCTGGAGTTCATTTGAATGAGGATTTAGCTCCATCATTTTACTGAAACTGTCCTTACAGATTTTATCATTAACTGTCAATATTTAACTGGTTTTACAGGTAGTCTGTAATTCTAGTATTGCTAGTACAAAAATCCACTAGCTTATATAGTTGGTTATCCTCTCTTTCAGTTATTCTCTTTTTTATGAAAAAGCATTATGGTACAAATAAGTAAAGGAAGATGCATTAATAATAATGGGCGACTGGAATGCAAAAGTTGGGAACAGGGAAGAGGGCTCAGTAGCTGGAAAACATGGGCTTGGTGAGAGAAATGAGGCTGGAGATAGAATTGCAGAGTTCTGCACATTCAATGATTTACTCATTGCAAATACCTTTTATAAGAAACATAAATGCTATACACATGGATTTCACCTGATGGTATAGGAATAAAATCAATGACATTTGTGGAAAGATTTGCTGGAGAAGCTCAATATTAGCAGTGGAAACTAGGCCGGGTGCTGATTGTGGGACAGACCACCAACTACTCATGTGTGAATTCAAGCTAAAGTTGAGGAAAATTAAGTTAAGTCCATGGGAACCAAGATTTGATCTTAAGTCTGTCCCACTCAAATTTTAAAACCATCTCAGGAACAGGTTTGAGGCCTTGAGCACCAAAGAGCATAGACCAAATGAGCTCTGGGAGGATATCAAGAATATCATACGTAAAGAATGCAAAAGATCATTACAAAGGCTAAAGAAGAAGAAAACACTAAGATGGATGTCAGATGAGGCTCTGA